CAATGCATGGCAAAGCCCAGGGCGGGGAAAGGAATCACCCGTCTTTTATCTATTTTCTTTACTGCTTCCCTTTCCCTCAGGATCTGTACATCAGTCAGTCGACTACTCACTAGGGTGACTTACAATTCACAAAAATCCTCCAGTTTGGGGTGGATTACTAAATTTTGTTGATTTTCTGATTTTGCATTTGTCTCCTTGGAGTGCCCTAGTTCATAGCCTCTTTGTCTCATATTAATACTATTTCTGTAGAAGCCAAAATACATGTGACCCTTGAGGAACAAAGGTTTGAACTGTGTGGGTCTACTCACACATGGATTTTTTTCAAAAACAACTGTAAATGTATTTTCTTTCCCTTATAATTTTAAAAAACATTTTTACTTTAGCCTACATTATTGTAAGAATACAGTACATGATACACACAACATAGAAAATGTGTGTTAACCGACTCTTTAGTTATTGGCAAGGCTTCCTGCCAACAGTAGGCTGTTTGTGCTTAGGTTTTAGGGGGGTCAAAATGTCCACTCAGATTTCCGATTGTGCCAAGGGTGGGTGGGTGCCTGGGTGGGTGCCCCCCACCCGCGGTGCTCGGGCGTCAGCGTACTTGCCTGCAGCCTCCGCCTTCCGTCTGCACTGCCCTCCCTGCCGCCTGACCTTGTCACTGCCCTGGTTGCAAGCCTTCGATCGCTATCTCTCAGATCCATCCTCAACTTTATTCAAGACCTTTTGCAATTTTCTTCCACCTACTTTGTCTCTGACCATTCCTCCTGCCCTGAAGTTCAAGCTAACTTGCTAACACACATTTCCCTGACCCTCTGACCTCACTGTTTCTTGTGACCCCCTCACCCACTAACTCCCTGACATTTCCTTCTCATTTTCCAGGGCCAGCTCCCTGGCTGCCTTCCCCCAGAAGCTTTTCCTGTTCTCTGCTGCTGCAGCAGCTTGGATTCCTCCTCCTGTGTCCGTCACGATGCTTGGGATGTGGCTCAGGTCTGTGGCTAACCCAGTATAGGAGGTGAAAAGTCAAGTCCACAGACCCTGGAGCCACCCTGCCTGAGGCTGAAACTTAGCTGCACCACTTACAAGTGGTGGAACCATAGCTGAGTCACTTCCTTTCCCTGTGATGTGATTTTCTCATCTGTAGAATAGAAGACAGAATGGCATCTTCCTCACTGAGTTGCTGGTAAGACTCAATGAGTTGCTGCATTTTCAGCCTTTTGCACCAAGTGAGCGCTGTATAGTGTTAGCTATTATTTTACTAAGTACATGTCTGCCTCCCCAAATTGTGAACTCTTAAAAAGCAGAGACTGTCTTACGTCCACGTCCCCAGTGTCTGGCACACACTAGGCACCTGGTATAAATTTGTTCAATAAGTTGGCTTATTATTACTGTGCCAGTGCTTCACTTGTTTATGGGTTAACTGGTGAGTGCAGGGTTATTTTCAATGAGTTTATATTCCCTACAGTGGGCCAGCAGCAGGTTCAAACGCTGGTGTCTAGACAGGTTTATAAATGCTGTGAATCTGGGTGACTTGGCCAGGGCCCAGGGTGCCTCTCAGCCTGCTTTCCTTATCTGTCGGCCCTGTTCTCAGACACCCTGTGAATATGGGGTGTTTCTTATTCCACTTTATCCAAAGAGGCTTTGTAATTCAATATACTTGTCCTTGGGTTGGAACTGTGTCCTTTTTTTTTTTTAAACTGTGAAAGTTTGGTGTCTATTTGACATTCACAACAGGAGAATATGCCAGGACCAGCTGAATGGAAGAGAAAGAAAAGGGAAGCCTCAGAAATGGAAGGGTAAACAGGGCACAAAATAACTGGAAGCCTGGCATTGCCTAAGCTCATCTACTCTAGGTCCTTGTCCAGGGATTTAATTCCTGGTTGTTTCTGCCAAGAAATACTGATAGTCCTTACTGCTTAGGACTTTGCTGGAGAAATGGGTCCCATCATAAGTCCCTCAACTGAAAGTGCCAATGAGATTTTGGAGAGGGCTCAGCAGAGGACAACATGGACGATTCCAAAGGCAGAGGGGGGAAGGACATGAGAAAAATCTAGGAGCAGGGTGGGAGACAGAGGTGCAATTCAGTGGCTGAGTTCAAGAAAATAAAGGGAGTTTATACAGACATCTAGAATTTTCTACAGACCTCTGCTTTAGCTGAGGGATTTCGGACTGCTCTTAGGAATGTGTGGCTATTACTGTGGATACAAAGGGATAGCAGCTGAGACAGTTCTGTCATAGCTCCTGTGCTCTCCAGCCCAAGCAGTGGCAATCCTGTCACCAGTGCTCAGTGAGGGCCTAGAGTATACTGGGGCAATGTTGAAGGGGAACAGGGTGACCTTCCACACCAGAGCTCTGTCCCTGTCCCTCTCGTGTCTGCCTCTTCCAAGTCTTAGTTCTGTAGACCAGAGAGCACTTCTGGCCTGGGCAGACACACTCAGCCTTTGATTCCGCTTTTGAAAAGTGTCAATTCTTCCCTTCTATTGTCTCCCAGAACTGTTCATAGAAACCTGTGACTATGACTTGATTTTTTGACTTTTCCTTTTCATTCCAGATCCACTTTTCCATTTTCTTAATCCCTAATTGTCTTTCCATTTTCCTTCCCTCCCCACTCTCCTCTCTCATGCAGTACATTATGTGTTGGTCTGGCAAAGAGGGGCTGTGGCATAAGCCAGAGCCTAGCATTTGCCCAATCCCACCACCCACAGCCCTTAGTGACAACCAGTATGGGGAACCTTCCTGGCTGGGACCATCCTGGGACTTTGGCTGCTTCAGCTGATAAACTGCTTGGAGACCCTCATCTGCACCTAGAAGCTGGGTTAAAAAGGATCTTGGTTTTTGAACTGTTTGACCATGGGTGAGTTGAAATATGGGTCTGTAACATCATATCTTCATTCACTGAATATTTACTGTACACTTACAACATGCCAATTACTCTTCTGAGTACTGGGCAGGAAGATACGTAAACATCCAGTTTCCACAAGGAGCTCACAAGCAGATGTGCAGTCTGCTTTTGTAATGAACCATAACATGCTGTGAGAAGTTTTCTATTAACGATATGAAAAAGATGTGGGTAGATGGAGGAAAAATGAACTGGCGGGCCATGGTTCCTCTCAAAAGCTGACTCTGTCCTGTGTGGTCCCTTGGGTGGTTGCCATAATGTATGTAAACATGGATGATGCCATGTTATTTTTGACTCCATCTTAACAGTAGCCCATTTCCTTTCTGCTCATGACAACATTGCTAAACAACAATAACCATTAGCACCCCCTCTTTTTTTTTTGCTGAGGTAGCAATGCAGATATTTCTAACCCATGACGACTTTCATCAGCCACATTTTGACCACTTTTTATTGAAAGCAGACCCAGATTTTAGCCTTAGGAAACTCTCCCAAAAGGAAGAGCCACATGGAAATACAATGGAAAAACAACTTTCATGAATGATCTCTCTTTATAAGAATGGGTGAATGGGAGGATATAGCAGACCCGGACTTAGAAGACAAGAGGGCTAGTCCTATGTGTTCACCAGTTAATCTGATGTTCCTGGGCCTCATTTCTTCATTTGCAAACAGGAATGATAACAGTATTCACCTTGTTGGGTGATGGTGAGAATTTGATGAGAAAATGCATATAAAACACTTAGAATGCAGGCACAGCAGCAGTGATGATGAAGTCCATACTTCTTCAGCAACACTTCTTAAGCATCTTCCATATTGGTGCCTCACTGGGGGTTTGGAATGATTCAGAAGCTCACAGCTGGGGAAGGGGACACACACACACACACACACACACACACACACACACACACTCAACTCTATAACAGAATATACAGTCCCAAAGAGCTGCTAGGTTCACGAGTGTGGGTGTGCAGGGTAGGAGGGTACTGGAGAGCTTTGGTGGGGCAGCAGTGTTTGATCTGGGCTTTGAAGGGTGAGTAGAGCAAGATGTCTTTCCCTGCAGAAAAACACATCAAAATTCTTCGTGATTTCTCTAGACTCCTTTCGGCTGCTTCTCTACTATTAGCCCCTTGCATTGGGGTATTTTCAGTTTCTCAGAAATATAGTATACCTTCTCTTGCCTTCCACCCATCTTTGCATGTGCCAGTTTGTTTGACCTGAAACTCCCCCTCCCTCTGCTAGAGGGGTAGCATTGTGGATAAGCAAGTCCCACTAAAAAGGGTCAGACTGTGGAGTTTGACCTAGCTTTGCCATTTACCAGCCACTGGGGCCCCTGCTGTGTTACTCAATCTCTTGGTGAGTCAATGTTCTCACCTGCAAAATGGGGATACAGGATAATAGTGCCCACCTCAAAGGCTGACTGTGAGGATTAAATGAGGTAATACCTGCTGAGTACTTGCCAGCCCCACCCACAGTAATCACTGAGTGTTAAACAGGAGGAGTTGTGGTGAATCCTCTGTCTGCCGTGCTCCTACTTGTATTTCTGGTCTTAGCTTAGTCACCACCTCGTCTTGGGGGACTTTTCATACACAGGCCAACTCCTAAGGCCAGGGTGAGTGCTCCCAGAGGTGTTGAACTCCTCTTCCACCGAATTACCAACATCTGTCGTCTTTGTGTCTCCACTAGGTAGCCAACTCCACGAGGACAGGGGACGGTTGATTGTAGGCTGCTGGGAAGGACGCGTGGTAGGAACTCAGTAAATAATGAATGACTCGGGGTGAGGGTCCCAGCGACCGCCGGGGTGTGGCAGAGCCTCCCGGGGCAGTTAGGGCGGGAGTGGGCCGCCAGAGCCCTGTGAAGATGAAGAGACAGGTGGGCCTTGACACCACGGAGAGCAGACAGCCTGGGCGTCCAGGGCGTCCGGGGCAACTTTTCGCCACTGGATGGACCTCGGGCAGACGCGCATCACCATGCAAATTTGGCCGGTGTGCGGTTCCGGAGAAACTGCCGCGCGACTAGTGGGCCAGCATTCTCGGGCCCCGCCCCTGCTCCGCCCCCGGGCGCGGCCCCGCCCCGCCCCGCCCGCTCCCGCCCACGCCCCGCCCTCCTCGCCGCAACCGCGGTGGCTACTCGCCCGCGGCGCCCCCACGCAGGCGGGCCCCGCACGCTTATTCCGCCGCTAGCAGCGCCGCTCAGATCCTCACCAACCGCCGCTGCGGCATGCTGCGCTCCACGTCCACGGTCACCCTGCTCTCGGGCGGCGGCAACAGGACGCCCGGGGCACCCAGCAGGAGGGTGAGTGCCTGGGGCTGGGAGCCGTCGCGGTCCCGCTGCCCCATCCCAGTCGCCTGGCAGTAGGGGTCTGAGGACGGGGATGCGCGGATGCCGGACCCTGGCCCTGGTGCCCCACCGTGGGCTCAACTTTTCGACCCTGCCCCAGATTTGGCCCTGACCCTTCTTCTCGACGCCCCAGTCACGCCCCAGGCTCTAAGGGTTTAGGGAACTCTCTGGAATTCCCAGAGATTTCCTTTCCTTCCTGACTCTGCTGTCAAGACAAGTTTATTGGCACCAGTTTAAAACAAAAAACCAAAAAAAACAAGGAAGGGAGACATTTCTGCAGTATCTCTACCTTGAGATTCAAAGATAAAGAGCGGCTTTAATAGCCAAACTTTCCTCCTTCCAGAGATTCAGAAAAAGGGTCGCTTGTTCCCACTGGTGATAGATTAGCACTACTTGCTACTGGAGTGGGCTTAGCCAAGTAGGCTTCACCTGACAAAGTAGGGTCAGCAGCTGGAGCCCAGCTGCATGTGACTTGGGTTTATGCAAACTGTCTTCACTCTGATTTAAATATTAGCACAGTGGTAGCAGAGGCAGCCCTGGTAGCCTGGGCACCGTCTTCAGGGTGGTTGCCCTTTGGAAGTGCTCTGTTTCTCTGTGATCTGTTTTTGCATCTCTTCTCTCCTCTCCAGGCATTCTGGGGGAGACAGGCCAGGTGCATGCAGTTTGCATCTTTCCCATCCCGTGTCTCTCCCAAGATCAGCAACTCAGAGCACACTGCCAGGGCCTTGGTTTGAAGTTTTCAGTTATCTATTCATCGTGATATTCAGTACTTAACATCTGATGCCTCTTTTCCGTGGTTGAGGCATCTCTAATGTGTTTCCCCAAGGTTTTGCAAAATAAATCCAAGTAAGGCACCCTTTGATACTCTAATTGTGTTCTAGTTTGTAGATATGCATATTTGCGTTTTATATACCTCAGCCAAGTGACTAACAGTTGCCTTATATTTTGTCTTTGTTTAGCTCTAGAAGAAAGGCATATTGTTACCTTTGGGTGTGGGCCAAGTGATGGATACTGGGGGGGGGGGTGTGCACACACGTGTGTGTGCATGAGCACATACACCAAATATTTAGGATTGACAGAATTCTAGTTGTTCAATCATTAGCTTCATAAAGCAAGATCTCCGTGAGGTCCGAGTGAGTTTCCAACCAGGGTCCCAGCTGTATCCAAGATGGAAATTTGCCTTTTTCTATGGAACTCCTTCACAGTTGGAACATAGTTATAATTGAGAAAGAATGAAGTTACTGCAAAGCTAGCCCTGAGGCTGGACAGTCATGTGTGAACCCAATACCATGAAGTGCATTGTCTAAGTCTCCTTCCAGAGATGGGACCTGATACCATGGGGGGATGTAAATGTGGTTAGTAAACAATATAATTTTTCTGAAGTTTTTTTCTCAAATATTACTTTCCAGTATTTCTTTGGTTATACGTGTTTTTGTGTCTGGCACAGTGGACACACTATGGAGAAGGCTTTGCCTTTTGAGTAAGACAAGCTAAATACTTTGGAGGGAAGGGGACAGGACCCTGCATCAAACCATGCAGGCCTGTTCCAAGCACATGAGTATTTGTTTTGAAAACATATCTAAAGGTTCTAGGATTCCATGCATGATTTTCCACTCTACTTATGATTTGCAAAGGTCACAAATACTGTCTGTGTGCATGAGGGGGTGTGGTGGGAGGCTGGGCTCCTCTCATTGATTGACTGACCGATTAAACAACATTTACAAATTTCCTTCTGTGTGATACAAGGCTGGGCATTGGGTTCACTCTACTCTAGCCCTGGAGGGAGGCAGACTACTGTCACACAGTGTGATGGCTGGTCAGTGGAGTAGAGCCTTAACAGAGTTGGGTAGAAGCCACAAGCCAGGTTCTTCCGCAGCATCTGAGGAAGGCCTCCCTTTGCAGGAGACATCTGAGTTTAGTCTTGCAGGATGAGTAGGAGTTTGCGGGGTTCTTGACATTGGGGTACTGGAAAGAGGAAATATCATTCTTCTAAATGGAACTCTTGGCAAAAACTGTGTAACAGTGGCATGTTGGACCTGCTTTAGATCAAAACACTTCTTTTTTGGAAAAACAGGAGCAAGATGTGTTGGAAATAAAATTGTAGACCAAACAAGTAATCATGAAACGTGTTCCTGAAGTTGAAAGTTTTTTTGTAAACTCTATTGTTCTGTATTTCCTTTGTGATGTTGGACAAGTGATGGTCTTGAACAATAATGTTGGCCATTAAAATAGCATTTCTGTTTCATTTAAATTGCTTACCAAATTAGGGGCTGCAGGGGGACCAGGCTATGTTGGTGTGGCTCTTCAAGCCGACCAGAAATGGTGGTGACAGCTGACACTGAGCAGGGACTTCTCTGAGTCAGCAGCCAAGGGTGGTGTGGCCAGATCTGACTGTCACCAGTTCTCCTTCACTCAGTGGCTGCCACCTACAATTTATACTTACTCCTTATCCGAAATCATCTCTCAAGACAAAAAGAAACAAACAAACAACAGGTGGGAGAGTAATTTCTGTCAGCTGATTAAACAAATCTCTAAGAGGCATTTCTGGATGCCAACCAGCAGGGGATGTGAAATTTAAAAAAAAACCTGCCTCCAAACCAGTTGTGCTCTAAAAATAGTTTTATCTATGGCAACAGCAGGAAGATAAATTGGCTGGGGAATAACCATAGACAGAAAGATGACCTTGAAGAATGGGGAAAACCTTTCTTAAAATGTTGACGTTGCTTCATAATTTTGAAAGGAATTTTGAAAATGCAGTTAATCCCACTGAATGAGCCTTTGAAAAGAAAGGTCAGTGGTGTGGCCTGGTTGTGCACTTCCGGGGGAAAGGCCTGTGTTGCTTGGCGTAGCCAGATATTTTTGGTTAAGCAGTCCAGCGAGGGCTGTGCGAGACCTGCCGAGGGTTTCCTCCAGCACAGTGTCTCTCCTACTGCTCATAAAGGGCCGTTCGCTGGTGTTACTGTGATCGTGGGCCCTCAGTGGCATATGAAAAACAAAACAAAAGTCAACAAGGCCACATTTCTTTCTATGTGGCAAAGGCTTCCTTCTGTTAAATACCAAATGGGTCTGCCAGTCATCACTGCCTCAATAATGAATGCAGCACTCTCCTGGGTCCCATTTCTATCTGATTGGCTCAAAATAAAGAATTCTCTTTAGCTGGGCAGTGAATGGGTCAGACGAGAATTTACTTCATTTCCTTTTCCTTTTCACAGAAACACTGTGCGTAACTTCTGTGTTGTCCTATAGGCTCTGGAAGGCACACGGGGTGTTGTGGGACCTCAGCATCTGGAGAAGGAAGTTGTGTGCAGCATCCACCAGGGAGGCCCGGGCAGGGGCCCCGCTGCTCCCAGAGACAGGCCGGCCCCTCACCAGGGCCTCCTGAGGCCGAGTTGTGCGGGTTTGGATCCCTGGCATCCTCAGGGCTGAGCCAAAAAGCATCCGTCACTGAAAATTGACATTTGTATCTCAGAAAAAAAGGCCCCAGTCTCTCTGCTTTGGTTCGCCCATCCTGCTGTGTCAGGTGTAGGATGAATGGCCTTGAGTCCTCCGGCACTTGTAAGGAAACTTGAGACCTGGAGGCTCTGGTCACTTGGGAAACCCTTTCAAGTCAGTCAGTCTCAAAAATGGTCTAATCAGGTTCAGGGAGCCGTGGATCCAGCGCTAACCAACTGGAGACCACGTTGAAATGCTCTGATCTAAAACACTTTCGGTGATTCCGTGTGTGTGTGTGTGTGTGTGTGTGGTCTTAGAGCTTCCTGTTTCTCGGGCTGAAACAATTCCAGAATTCCCCAAGACGCTGAAGAGTAGCGCAGTGGTGTTTACTGCTTTTCCCTTTTTAAATGAGCGATACTTCCTAAATGTCAATCACATTGTTGACTCCTACTTGTTTTTTAAGGCCAGAGTGAACTGCAACATTCAGTCACCTGACTCCTGCTTCAAGGGCCCCTCAGTATTGCCAGGAAAAAGTACAACCTCCTGAGCTGAGCATCCGGGCCCCTCTGATTTATCTTTGCCTTCCCTGTTCCCCTCCTCATGCATACTCTTTCCGGATATTCCCAACTACTTGCCATTCCTCAAGCTTTCCATACTGTTCCTTGTCTTTTTGCCTTTTTGTACCTCTCCTTTGAAGAAGGGTCATCTCCAGGAAGCCTGCTCTGAAGCTTCCTCTTCCATGTTCCCCTAGAGGCCTGCGCACCCCATCATTGCTTGCACCATCTATGATTAATGACTTTAAAAAGTCATGCTGTAATCATAAAAAGAGGAGTGCCACCAGGATCCTAAAGGAGCTGCACTTAACATTGAATTGGCAAAGGGGAAAACAGGAAGAGAAGCTTGGGGTTAAAGCCAGCCCATCACCTTTGGCCCACCTGGGCAGGAAGCAGGTGACAGATGGGAGTGCTGGCCCAGGTGAGGAGTCTGACAGTTCTGGGAAGGCCTCCAAATATTCCAGTTACCTCATCCTGTTGCATAGTTGGAGTTTCATTCCTTTGGTGAAGTCAGTGGTTCTCAACCCTGGTTACACATAGCATCCTGAGAAGCCGAAAATATTTATGCCCACACCCCACCCCAGACCTTCAGAAAGAACTTCAGAAAGTAGAGAAAATACCCATGTTGTGTAGTAAGCTCCCTGGGTGACTCCAACGTGCAGCCAAGGACCGGAACTGCTCCTCCCAGCTTTGCTTTCCCCTTGTAGCTCTCGTGGAAATGCAGACACTTCTGGGACAGTGTTCTGGAAGGTCCCTTTGGCCACATGGAAGGGCAAGGCTGTTGGGAGGGTAGATTCGGGGGGCGGGTCATAACACTCCAAGTCACACTGATATCTGAACATTCATTTCCCTGCGGCTTCTCCTTGATCTTGGCATCCAGGGCACATTGTGTACTGGTTCAGAAGTGCACGGGTCACTGTCCTCCTATGTGGCTTGAATGCTATGAGTTTTGTCTGGAGTCAGCTTGGA